AACAGAGGACCAGGGGAGCCATGCTCGGGCCCAAGACCCACAGATGCTGAGATGCCAAACTTGTTGATTCTACTTTGCCAACTTTGTGGACACTTGCTACGTTGCATGGGTCACTGATGTGCGTAGGACATCAGAGTTTGTGTTGTTATGTTTAACATGTTATTGTAAAGAGATATGTTCACAATAAGTATCAATGATACCAGCAGTGCCAATGGCTCTAGAAAAAGTATATTCTTTCTCTATTATTCTCTAGGGTATTATATATTATATATACTTATTGCATATTTATATTTTCTAGGACCAATTGTGGTGCTCCCATCATGTTTTAGTCTTAAAGAGCTTTTTCTCAAATAAACTTTCTGCCAAGTTACAAAGATTTCTGATTCTTTCATTCCTGTTTCAGAAGCTGGTACTCTAGTAGAACCTTCATGAAACTTGGCTTTTGTCAGAAGTGGTGGCTCATATTCCAGGACACTATGGTGGACACCTGTCATCTTTGGAAAAGGCAAGGAAGCAGATAACTGTTATGCTGCTGAATGGCTTCCAGCCTTGACATGGCGCTGCTCTTTATTAGACTCTCACGAGACGCTGGAGACCGAAATCCCAGTGGGAAGGTGGGTGAGTACTGAAGCCAAGCACCGCAGCTCAGGGCGCCGTGTGTGGAGAGGCAGGAGGAGGTCATGGTAAAGCTCTCCCGCCTCTCAGTGTCACTTGCTGGCACCCCCAAGTCGGCTGATGCAGAACATGGGGAGGTGCTGGGTGTGACTGTCGACATGGAAGTTGCACAATACCCCATTTTCCACTGTGACAAATGCCAGCCTCTTGCCAGTAGCCCAGGGCTTCTTGCTTGACTGCGATGCCATTGCCTGAGCATCAGACCCCAGTGCCAAAACAGCATTCACGTGCAAGCCTTAAAGCCTGTGTCTTTTGCTCGAACAGAGAAAGGAGAAAGCTCCTGGGCGAAATGGCAGCAGTTTATCATAGTCGATGTGACACGTCGTCTCCTACCTTGAGAAGTGGCAGAGACAATCCGTCAGCAATTGTCGGCTAACTTGCTGGGGGTGGACTGTCCTGAGGGCCACTTACTGCCACCCAGGGCAGGGATGGAGCTAGCGCTCCTTACAGCTGAGCCTGCAGCCCACTGGCTGGCTCACATCTGTCCTGGGTAGCCCAAGCCCAATGTGGAGTCGAGGCCATAATAAAAGGAATCAGACTGCAGAGATTACAGTGTTTCCTCCAGAGACACATTACTAATTCATTTGCTCAAGACAAGCGAGGGCTGTCAGCTTAACTTTATTCCCAGTGCACCTAACTTTATTATTTTCCAAATTCAGGCCTTAATCTTTCACTTTGCATTAAGCAGTCTTGAAAACCAAACACGAGACTGCACGTCACCACCGCTCCTACCCCAGAGCTGCCCGGGGCAGACGCCACGCCTTGGTCACGGCATCGTCCCCACTGACCCGGCTTCAGGGTCCTTCTCAGCACGTCAGCCCAGGCCTCCTCCCACCAGTCTTCCTTTCCTCTTCCCACGGAAATGGAGCCCGGATCACATACACACAAAGTGTACCTCGGGACCTTCTTTATTGTAGGGTTAGTTTTCAGTACTTTGATGTACAGTGTGCTATTCTACAATGAAATAAAACGCACTTTGCAAACCTTTCCGATCTCACTTGATCATTGAACCCTCCTTTGGCGCACCTCCCCCCAGTTTCTTGAGAAAACTATAACCTGAGAAAAGCTATTGTATCCCTTTCCCTCTGCTGTATTTCCCTCCTGGAGGTGTTTGACATTCATGGGTGATCTAGGTCTTCACTCAATGGTTTATAGTCATTGTTTTTATTTTTTCATAATGATATAGACTTGAGTCACTTGCAGTAAGTGGTGTAAGAGATAGTCACATAACAAGCCTACCCAAAGGATCACACAGAGCTTGTATTTCAAAGATGATTCTCTTTGCAAACTGTCCTCATTGTCCATTTGCTCTGAGTGAAAACGTTCTACAATTTATACCTCACTTAGGTGAAGTGAGCATGCATTCCAGTTTATGTCCAAGGCAGCCCTGGATTATACCTGATTTCCCATTTCAGTCATTGACAGTTCTCTAGTTTACTAATGCAAGTGTCCTCTTTGGGTGGTCAGTTAGTTAAATGATCTCACCACATTTAATTCTCCATATGATAACAATGGTGTCACTGCCCTTATTTTGTTAACAATGAAGCAGGACTCCGGGATAGAGGAAGTGGTTTGTTCACACAGCCAAGCCACAGACAAGCCAGGGTTCAAATGAGGTTGGAATGACGTCAAGGCCGACATTCTTGAGTGCCAATGTCACCCTGGCCATCTCAGTGCATGTTGTTTAACACACACAGAGTTATTGAGAAGCACTGTCGTCCGTGTTTTGAGGATGAGAATAGTGATGAGGTGATGCATCACTGTGTACATAATTTGAGCCTTTCGTGTTGGGGGTCTTGCCTTCTGGTGTCTTTAATGTGGCAGCTTTGCCTGGAAGGGCAGGTCCCACAGAATAAGGCAGGGGCAGCCACAGAGAGGGCTGAGGCGGGAGGTCACAGCTCTGGGCTTTGTGCCAATCAGTTGGGACCCTGGTCAGGCTTACTGTGCAGCACTGTCTCCCAAATATTTCCACATAAACCAGCAACAGGAAGTGTAAACTCCTGGGCTCCACACTCCAATCCGGGACGACCTGCTCCCCGCTCACTCATCACGACCCACAGTGTCCTGGACAGTGTGCGACATCTGGGGCAGAGGGACAATGGTCCCAGCTAAGGAGCCACCAGTCGCAGGGGTTCCTCCTTGTCACTGAGCAAAACTCAGCAGAATACAAGGGAGTTGATATCAAAAATAAAGCTCTTTCGATAGCACTGGATATCATTTCTAATTTTTCTAGAAACTAATGAACTCTCAGCTGACAAATTAGGAACCCGACCAAGGGGGGGGGCAGGAGTGATGGTGGAGGATGCATCTGAAGGGTGGTGATGGAAAAGATGAGGTGACAGCTTGCAGCTCCTCAGGGCTCCAGGCTTAACACAGGGCCTCCTGGACCCCTCCCCTCTTCCTGGCAGTGACTTGGGATCTTCTACAAACATTGCAGATCTCCAAGGAGAAGTCATTGTTCTACTCCTTGGCACCCCATTCCCCGATATCTTCCATCATTGAAGAGAAGCACGTGGTGAATGAGTAGGCTTAGTGGACAGCACATTACGTGTCCTTTGTCTGTGGGCTTCATCGGTGGACCAAGGTGAAAAAGTCATGCTTCCTTACGGGCATTTTCAGTCGAGATCATTCCTGCATTTGCTTTTTCTTTCCTGTTCCTATATTCTTTATTTTCCATTTCTTTCTCCCACGCAGCATGAAGGGTAAGGACGCTTGACTCCCGTCTCCATACTTCTCTAGCACCCTTCCTCGCTCTGGCAAAGGCGAGTGGGTTGAGGACAGGAGCAGACATAAAGGAAGCTTAGGGATGTCCTTAGTGGCTTTCTGATCCCCCATTATGTGTTTCTTCAAGATGACAAAGTAGCAAGATTTCAAGGGGCAGAGTGTGAAGAGTGAGGGCTTTGGGCTCAGCTTTAGGATACGTCTGCCCAGTTGATCGGGTCTTATTTAGAGGTCCTGATTTTAGATTTCTATCTAAAGCCTGAATGCAGAACACCAGCTTGAAACTGCACTGAGCAGAATTTAAATTTTATTGAATTGGCTTATAATTATGCTATTGATTAAAATTATGAGTCATTCCAAGGTCTACACGTGACTTGGTAAATGAGTCTTCGGCTGGTGTACAGAGACAGACTTCCCTATGCCAACGGTCACAACTGAGATCTCAATGACTGATGAGACTGTGATCCTCTAATGGTAAGAAAACACTGCAGCTGAGGAATTATGACTCTGTGCAGCCATTCTCCCAGATCAAATGTTAGCTAGAGATAACATCGGTGGCTTGTTAGCTACAACCTATAAGATAACACAGGTGGCCTGTTAACTGTGAGCTGTCCTTCACAGGAAAGCATTGTTCCTCCCTTTTCCAAGCCTGGCCCAATAGTACATTGGTTTTGCTATTGTTTACATCTGCCTGTATGCACTCTGCTATGTTGGGTAAACAATAACTGCTGACAAGAAGGAGGATCGTGTGATCTTAGCCAGGAGAGAGCTAAGATCAGACCCCGGCCCCCAAGTAATAATCTACCATTTGTTCTCATTTCTTTATTCCTTGTTTTTTTGTATATTATTCTTTTATCCCCTGCTGTATCCTCATTCAGGCAATTGGGAGTCCCTTGATAACTCTCGGGCATAACCTGATACCTAAATAACACTCAGGCCTTATCTCTCACTTTCATCCTTGACTATGTCTCAGGGAAGAAATGAATGAATCGTGTTATGATCAGAAAGGCTGGCATTTTACCTGCCATTGGATTTCACATTTTTAATAAGAACAAAGCCAGTGAATGGTGAACTGTAGTCATCAGTCCCAGATCTGCATGCAAGCTCTTCCTTTAGACATGATGTGTTTATTTGAATTGCATGTATCTGGGAAATTGCAGAAAAGGTCTCAGCTCTCCTATTGGTTTTTCTAACTCCCTGAATGGGGTGGTTCATAGGCATGGGCCTCAGTGCAGGGGAGGCCATGCAATTTCTTGAAATCTTGGATGTGAAACTACAGATTAAATTTCCAGAAGTCACAATCAAAAGTACTTTCTATTAGGGACTGATGAAGCTACTGCATTATTTTTAAAAGTTGAGCTTATTTGAGAATGTTAACCGGTATCAGAAACCTAGGATGTGTATTTTTTAGAATGACTCCAAACAGACACTGCTGTCAATGTTTAGAAATGAAGAAAAAAAATCATTTATGTCTATTCTTCTCTCTAGGGCTTATCTAATGAATATAAACAAGCTTATTTAAAAGAGTTTGGTAGACTTCCTTTAAACAAATCAGCAGAAACATTTTTTGGTTAATTCTCATTAATTTGTTTTGAAAAGCCACACAGATTTAAACACTCAATTTATTTGCAGTATTTGTGCATGGAAATAGTAATATAACACTGCATTCTATTTCAAGCTAGTAAATTGTTTCTAAGAAATAAGTAGATGCAATTTTAGAGCTTTTTAATAAAAAATACAGGTTATAGAAATGCATCTTAATTTGAAGTACAGAAAAAACTTTTTAAAATAGAATGTTTTTGAGGGTTACATGCAGAGAGGCACTAAATACAGGAAGGTTTCTGGAAACACGATATAACAAAAGTAATAAGAGCTCTGGTTGTAAGAAATACAGACAGCAGACCTGTCCCTAAAAGGCAAATGTGTAAGCTGGGAGTCTGTGCTGTCAAGGTGAGTCTCAGAAGAGGAGTAAGCCATTCAGGTTGGCCCCTTGAGGGGCCCTGTCACCTTGCTATACAGCATTTACCTTCTCTGCTCTTATTTTTCTTTAATTTGCAAAATGAGAACTCATTTCATTGGAGACAAAGTCGTTTTAAAATACAGGCATTTTCCCAGAATGCCATTGGTCCATGATATGCTATTCCAGCATGGATGGACTTATTTGAGACAGGTATCACCAATACGTTGTGGTAATTACATATCCCCAAATCCCCGGCTTGCTTCTGCTTTCAAGAATTCACAGTATAAATTTGCCCTGGAGGGAGAAGAAAATCCAAATGCGAGCTAGCTTCTCCCAGAAAGCACAGTGTCTGCAGTCTGGGGTTTCATTATAATACCTGCAGATGAGATAACAGGAAACGTACTTGTGAATAATGACTCAACAATCAAATTTATTATGCAGTACAAAATCACCCCTATACATAAATCTTGCTAAGGAATAATCACTTTTAACTTGAAAAATACACATGTTTATCCTTTCAGGAGAAGACAATAAAATATTTAAAGACTGCCATGTCCCAGATAAATGATTCAAGTCCCTAACAAATCTCCTTTAGTTTTTCTAATATACATGGCTAATATTTTACCTTCTTTAATGATATTTCCTGCAACAGAAACCAAATTCTTTTTCAACTTGGAGTGGAGCAGGAACCTACAAAATAATAACAATAAAAAAGACTCAGAGGTAGCACCGTCTCCATTTTAAGGCTGAACAAAGAAACATGACAAAATCATTGTCGCTTTTCACAGCTTTGTGGATGCAACTGGTGAGACCATTGTGCATTTTAAAAGGAAGCAGAATCACTGTGAAGATCAACTACATCAAAGTTCCTGCATTCAGATTTTATTTTGATTTAGGGGGAGAACTGCCTAAGCAGTGGGAATTTATATTCTGTTCCCATTAGCCAAAATCTTGCTTACAAACAAAACAAAAGAAAAATGAAAACATGCTGCAGTTCTGTAGTCCTTCAGATTTTGTAGAAGCATCTTTGTTTGATGAAGGTATTTCCATAAACCTCTAGGGTTTGATGCTCCCCACAATTCTGCTCTATTTGAATGAGACTTTTGGGTAAATAGTGTATAGCCTCTTAGATTACTGATGATCATAGAATGATCCAGAGATGCAAATACTTCAATCAATTTCTAAGGGTGAGTGACTTTATGTCAATACTCATGATTTATCTGAAATGAAGAAGGATTAAAACAATCCTAAAATGTTGGAAAACTAAAAAAGGTTTCTTTCTGGAGCTTACCAAAGTCATTAATTCTAGATTTTAGCAAGAAATCTAGCTCCTACAGGGGGATGGATAACAGCGCAAATTTCCTACATCACATATGCAGGTATTTGGAATAACATGGTTTTCATGAAGGAAAACTTGTGATTGGACATTATTGGTCTTGTTTGAACTGGTCTGGGTTTTCTTGTTTGTTTGTTTTTTGGTACCAGGGATCGAACTCAGGTCTTTGCGCTTGTGAGGCAGGCGGCAGAACCACTGAGCTGAATCCCCGGCCCTGGTCTGGGTTTTCAATTGCTATTATCTTTGATTTACATTATTTTTACCTTTTTATTAGCAATTTCTTTTTAGTTAAATCTATGACATGAAGTAAAGCATATTTGCATCAATAATATTTTGGGGCTATGTTTTTTCTATAACTAGACTTTAAGTACTATATGTTTTAGCTCAAATAGACTCATCATATTCCTATTATAAAAGCACCTGTACTCATAATTCCTCTAGTATTTATTTTTTTTTGGACATGTTGAATTCAGCCACACTTTGGCCTCAATGGTTTTTTCTTTTGAGTTATGTCTTCTTTGGATTGAACCCAGGGCCTCTGTGCACTGAGCTACATCCACAGCTCTTTCTGTATTTTTTTTTGGACAGGGTCTTGCTAATTTGCTTAATTTCCTTGAATGGCTGCTCATGAATTTTTGCACACAAATGTTCATCTAACCTATTTGGTTCATTTTTATTTTAAAGGACAGATAGGGTACAGGAGTCCCATTTTCCTTCTCACTAGAGAAATTCTTTTTTTGAATTTCATATCCATTTACATAAACCCAACATACCTTATTGCTGAAGGGGGTGTTATGCAACATGTTTTCATTGTGGGCAGTGGTACCTACAAATACAAATTGTGTTACTATCTATCTCTTCAGTCATATTCCATATATTCATGAATCATTTCATCATCACTTTAAAAAATGGTGAAACATCAAAAGGGCACACTGGAAATGAACCTTTGGCAAGTATGTCACTAATTTCTCCCACTTATGGATAGACTTGGATAGGATACCGAGGAATCACTTCAGTGTAGAAATGATCTTCTGAACTCCTCCGAGTGAGACTTTCACTTGATTATTCTTCTCCTTCTCTCCTCGCCCCTGACTTTCACCAAGGTTGGCCAGTTGCAAAGCACCTTCTTCTATGAACGCTTGCTCCTGCCACTCTCACAGCCTGTACCCTGGGCTTTCCATTTTCCATCCCAGCTGCATGTGTGCTTCTCTTGCTTAGCTGTGGACTGCAGCTTCTGAGTTCTCCCAGGCTCCCTAACTGGCCTCCACCTCTCACTGCCCTCTCACCATTTGACACACATTGCACCCTCATCGCATTCAAGGGAACTGTTCTGAGTCTTATTTGTATTTCATTAGCTCTTCTACTTTTCTTCCCTGTTTTATTAGTACATGTTTGCAAAACAGAATAAGTACATTCATCGTGGGGAACTGGTGCATATACACATTGTATCTCAGTTCTTTTTACTTCCTTTCCCCTCTCCTCCCTTCTGTCTTTTCCCTTCCCCAAATCCCCTTCTCATTTCCATAGTCTCTAACTTCTGAATATCAACCATCAGCTTCCATTTCCATAAATCACGTCAGTCTCCACAGGAAATCCCCATGCACAATTCTTACCCACATCTTACAGATGAGAAAGCTGCAGCTTGAAGAGGATATGAGGCGTGCAAAGGTCACACGGAGTAGGGTGTGAACAACTAGGACAGTCAGAGCCAATGCTTTTGCTTCTTTTATTGTGTTACAAAGCCTCCAGCATTGGACTCCAGAGTTGCTCCACATTTAGTTTGGATGTCAAGTGGTTTTGCACATAAATATCAAGTCTAGGTGAATTTTTACACCGACTTGCCCAATATTATTGGATTCAGAGTGATTAAAATTGCTTTACATACTTTGTTTTAGTCTTAAATACTTCTGTTAATGCCAACACTTACCACTTGGGTGGTGCACAATGATGAGTTTATCTAGAAGACAAAAACCAAACAAACCGTATTCTCTTAAGTTTTGTTCAATGTTTACCCAAAGCTCTTTTCCCCCTGCTGCCTACTTTGTGATTTTAAAGAGAGGATGAGATCTCATTCTAGCCTTAAAATATTAACCCTAAACTCCTAAACTCATCTACCTCTGGCCTCTAAATCTGAAACTGTTTCTCTGATTGTTTCTTTCTCTCTTCCAACATTTGTTACAAGGTGTTATGATTTTTGGTATCCTTGACAGTTAATAAATCTTGCTACTCTGCCTTGATATTCCTTTAGACTAAGCTCCTCTGTTCGTTTTTAAAATCAACATTATTCAGGAATAATTATATTCAGTACAAATTAAACACTGCTAAATGTATAAGGTCATGACTTATTTATTTATTTATTTATTTATGGTACTGGGGATTGAACTCAGATCCTGGCGCTTGCGCAGCAGGTGGTGAAACCACTGAGCTAAATCCCTGGCCCTAAGGTGATGACTTTTGATAAATGTATGTAGCTACATGCCTATCAACCCGATAGGGTGGAGGTGATTTCATATCAATGAATAGTCCCTCATATGCCTGTGTCACTCACCATCAGAACATTACTCAGGAGGACCACGATCTGATTTCTACCTCTAGGAAATAGTTTTGTCTAGATTATTATTACAGGGTCTAGAATTTGAGATTAATGGAATCTGACATAGCATGTACTCCTTTGTGTCTGATGTCTTTCACTCAGTACCCTGATATTCATTTATATGGTTGTGTATAGTAGTAGGTATTTCTTTTTATTGCCTGAGTGGTATCCTATAGTAAAAATATAATAATTATCTATTCTTCTGTTGGACATTTGGACTGTGTCCAGAGCAGCTATTATGAATCAAACTGCTATAAACTTTGATGGATATATGTTTTCACTTGGTCTGTGCCATGTATTAAGCATATATGTGACTTTTCCCAAGTCACTGTACCATATTCTACTTCCATCAGCAATGTGTTCAAAGTATGTCCAGCTCTACATCCCAAACAACACTGAAGTCTGACAGTCTCACGATTGCATTCAGTGTGGTTGACTATTACTACGTTATCTGGTTTCATTTGCCTTTTCATAAGGACCTATGACACTGGCACCTTTTTCCATGCTTTGTCAGCTAAGACTGGGTGGTGGGTGTGGCATTGTGCTCACTGGAGCTGTCACTGCAGATAGCCCCTGGCTAGGTAGGCAGAGAGATAGATAGGGATATAGATATCCATGATTAGTTACACTTTCACCTGGGATTCCAGGGCTACGTAGAGGGATTCATCCCAGCTCCCTGTTCCACAGGTCTAACTCCAGTCTCTGGCAATAGGAAAACTGGCTCCTGTGACCTGTAGTATATTTATATGTTAGCTCAATCCTACAATACCCATAAAGCAGTTTTAAATGTTAAACTATATCCTTGTGGGGAAAATATACCCTACTTACTGGAGTAAAGTACAAGTTTTTATTTACTATTCTTTTTTACTTTTGGCCTTAGAATGCTTTGCTTTCTAAATCTATGTTCCTTTTTCCATCCCCCTTGTGTGTGGCTATGTTATTTACGCTAATTTTTTCCTGCTTATATTCTGTTTTGCCTCCTTTCTTATCCCTTCCTTATTTATTAAATATATAAAATACTGACAGAGTTCTAAAAGTCAGGAGGATACAAAGAAGTATACTAGAGAAGTTCAGAGAAGTGTTTTAAAAATTTTTATTATTTATTTATTTATTTTAAAAAAATTTATTTTTTTCAGTTTAGGTAAATTTTGTTTTTTAAGTAATTTTTTTCTTTTCATTTAAGTTGCCAAATATGCTGGAAGAAGGTTAATTATGCTTTCATAGTATCTCTCTAATACTTGTAGGCTCTGTTGGGATAAATTACTTTAGCTCCTGTTACAGAAAATTCTTGTTTTCTTTTTTCCTTGACCATCCTTGCCATGAGTTTATCAATTTTATTTATGATTTCAAATGACTTATTTTTGACTTTGTAAAATTTCTTTTGTTCATCTCTTTCCATTTTCATTGATTTCTGACCTTACTCTTTTTTATTTCCTATTTTTGGATTTAATTTGTTTTTCTTTAGTTTCCTAAGGTGGAAGCTTATAGCATTGATCTAAAGCTTTTTGCCTTTTCTAGTGTAACTTCCATGGTCATAAATTTCTCTCTAATTTAACTGTTAAATGCATAACCATGTTAGCTGAATTCCACAAATTCTGATATAGATTTTCCACTATCATTCATGTGGGAATATTTTCTTGGGATTTGCTATTTGTTCCGTGGTTAATTTGAAATTTCATTTAATTCCTAAACATTTGGAGAGATTTTATAGATATCTAATTATTTTCCAGTTAATTTCCGTGGTGGTGGTAGAATATGACTTCAAAAGACTAAAATATTTTAGAGAACACACTCGGAAGGTCTTAATCTTTTAAAGTTAATTGAAACTTTTTGATGATTCATTTGTGTCTATTTTGGGGAATCTTCTGTGCACAACTCTAGTGAACATATATTCTGAAATTTTTTGATGCTTCTGCAAATGTCAATTAAGTGAAGTTAGCTGACAGTACGTTTCAGATCTTCTATATCCTTATTGATCTTTATTATTCTATTAATTACTAAGAGGGAAGTGAAAACATCTCAGTACTATCAGATTTTTCTTGATGAAGTCTGATAAAACTCACAAGCATAAATGAGGTAGAAAATATACCAATATTTAGGGTTGCTATATCTTCCTGGTGACTGCCCTTTCATCATTATGCAGTATCGTTTGTACCCCTTGCAATACTCTTTGTCTTGAAGTTTATCTTGTTGCATGTTAGAGTGGTTATGACAGCTTTCTTTTGCTTACTGTTGGGATAGTGGACCCTTCACTAGCCTTCCTTTTCAAACTATGTGCCTTATATCTAAGATGCTCATCTTTTAAACATCCGAAACTTAGGTACTGCTTTGCAACCTGAGAATATTTTTCTTTAAAATTAAATAGTTAACTCATTTAGATTTAACATAATTACTGATCTGACTCAGTTTAACATGACCATCTTGTTCTTGTCTTTCGGCTTACCCATTTTGTTTATGTTCCTCTTTGAGACATTCTTGCTGTATTTTCTGTGATTCAAATAGTTCTTTAATGCTCCATTTCATTTCTTCTATTGGTTTCCAAGATACCCTTTCTTTCTTTGTTTCTTTCTTTTTCTTTCTTTCTTTCCTTCCTTCCTTCTTTCTTTCTCTCTCTTTCTTTCTTTCTGCTTTCTTTCTCTCCTTCCTTCCTCCTTCCCTTTTTTCTTTCTTTCTTTTTCTTTCTCTCTTTCTTTTTTCCTTTCTTTCTTTCTCTCTTTTTTCCTTCCTTCCTTCTTTCCCTCTCTCTCTTTCTTTCTGCTTTCTTTCTCTCCTTCCTTCCTCCCTCCCTCCTTTTCTTTTTTCTTTCTTTCTTTTTCTTTCTCTCTTTTTTCCTTTCTTTCTTTCTTTCTCTCTCTTTTTTCCTTCTTTCCTTCTCTCTCTCTCTCTCTCTCTCTCTCTCTCTCTCTCTCTCTCTCATCAGGGTCTTATTATGTAGTTCAGGGTGGCCTTGAACTCACTATGTAGCCCAGGCTGGTTGTGAACTTACAGAGATCCTCCTGCCTCAGCCTCCCAAGTGCTGCCTCTGCAAGTGCTGGGATTCCCAAGTGCTCGGCACTTCTCATTGATTTTTTATAGATTGCCTTGAGACTAAATTGTACAAGTTTAATTCATCAATTGTTGGTACATTCCCTTGAGTTTCATGCCTTATGTCTGACTTGCACTTGACACTGCATCCTTTCCTCTCTTTTATACCTGAGTCTCACAATCCACACTTTGCACTTCACTGTGAAAACCTTCACTTGTCTGCATCTTATGTTCTTTGTGTGACTGTATCCTTCACATTTCACACTTCAATGTTAGGTGTTAATAGTTTGGGCTCTAAATAGTAGTCTTTGAAATAATTTATGAAAAGAAAGAAAATATAATATTTTATGTCTGCCTGCTTTGTATAATTTTTATCATTCTTCCTCCTCAGGGGAAAGGATCTGGCACCCTTTTTGTAAATTTTCTTTCCACCTGCGTGATTTTCTTTAGCATTTGTCTTGTTGCAATTTTGCTACAAATTCTCTAATCCACACATACCTTTATTTCATCAATTTTTGAGGGATATTATATAGAGTTGAGTGGTCTTTTTTTCTTTTCAATCTTTGAAGATATAATTACATTGTCTTTGGCCCTCTTTGAATCTAATAATCATTTAGTAAATATTGTCATCTTTTCCCTGTATAAGTCATGTATCTTCTTACTCTGGCTTCTTTTAAGAATTTTCCCTTTACCTTGAGGTGAAGTAGTTTCATCACATATTGCATAGAGGTCATTTTCTTAACAATTATGTTAATTGTTTTTGTTTTTTGTTTTGGTACCCAGGATCAAACCCAGGACCTTGCACTTGCGAGGCTGGTGCAGTGCCACTGAGCTAAATCCCTGGCCCTTTTTTTGTTTGTTTTTATGTGAAGTTCTCAGAATCAATGGAAGTAGTTTGCAATCAATGTGGCAATGTTTTGGGCATGATTTTATTATAAGTGTTTTGTTCCAGACTCACTCTTTTCTCATTCTGAGGGCTAACCACTTGGAGGCTAGATTGCTTATACTGTCCAACAAAAAGTTCTTTCTTGTCCTGCTCATCATATTAATTTCTGTTGCTCTGTCTTCAAGCTCACTCTCTTTGCTATACCAAATCTGTTAATAAGTTCATTTGATAAACTTTCATTTCTTACATCATATAATTTTATTTTAAAAAATGTCCACTTGCTTCTTTTATGTACTTTCATTTTCTTCTGCTAATATTTCTTTATTCCCTCAATGAAATCCTATTTTTCATCAATTCAGTGTTTATAGGAGCTTCTTTTGAACCTTGTACATTATATTTTTTCTTTCTTTTTCCTTTGGAGTTGAAACCTGCATGTGACAATATGTTGTATATTATGGATTTTGTAATATTCTTTAGATGAGTGTAGGTTCTTGTTTTAGCAGGCAGTTCAATTTCTGACATGAGCCTGCATAGATTTGATATTATTCTTTTTTGAGTATTGATCTGTAGTACTGACTGGATAAAGAAAATGTGGGTTTTTAAAATAAAACAGAGTACTACTTAGTCACAAAAAATGACAAATTAGAGACATTTATAGCTAAATGGATGCACATTGAGGCAATACTCTTAAGTGAAATAAATAGGACACACATGTGTAAATACCATATAGTTTCTCTAGTATGAGAAACTGAAAGTATAAATAAGGTCTAAAAGGTATAATAGATAATGTGAAATAGGAAGAAAAGAGGCAAAGTGGAAGGGGAAGTGGGAGGGGTAGGGGAAAGGAAAGAAGGGAATGGAATTAATATGAGAAAATGAAAAAAATGGAAACAAAGACTTTGTAAATAGGGAGGGATGGAGGGGTTGAAGGGAGGGCAGGGAAGGGGGGAAAATAAGAATCAAGAGAGATTATGTAAAGGTGCAAATTTCCAATGATGAATGTCATTATATTGTACACTTAAAATGAAGCAATAAAATTAATTTTAAAAAAGTTTTAAGTAGAACAATAAAAGTTTATGTAGAAGCAAAAACAAACAAAACAAAGCCCAAGGTGATTTATAAGGCATTTGGGGAGACTTGGCCTACAAACGCTGTCTCCTGTGTGGCTCCTGTGGGCCTTGGTTGTAGGTTTTCTTACACCATAGCTAGAGTACCTGCTGCTCTAACTCAAGGTGCTTCCTCCTTACAGCTCCTGTGTATCTTTTAAGGATGCCTGGTATTCAAAGGAGATGCTAAGAGCTCCCTACCATGGCAGGACAGGAGCACAGTTTCTCCCCAGCAGGGCTTTTCCTCCAGTGTCTGTTTTGGTTTCAGGCTCTAAGCATTGCTACCTTGTCTGCCTTGAGCAGTCTTTCCGAATGCACGGGTACCTCAGACGTTCACAGTTCCTTATATGGGCATCTGGGCCCTGCTCTCCAGGAACCTTCCATGCAGTCTGGCAGCCCTGGCTGCCCTGAAGTGGCACCTCAATTTCCTTTGGTTCACACCACCCCCTTGCTTTGCTCTGACTATGCTTTGCTCTGTTCAGAGACGAACGCAGCTGTGAGAGCTGCCTTGAGAGCACTGCTCTCTCTGGGTTGGTGGTCTTGGCCTGTGTGTGGTCTGCTTGCTGAACTCCGTTACTCCTAACTCTGGTCAGGGTCAGTGTCCTGTGCAAGGGGACTGTGTGTCTGCTATACTTCACTCCTGTGGCTGAGGGAGAACTGTCACATTCTCAGCTAACAATAGTGATTAAGAATGGGGATCTTGAACTCGAATGGAATGGATGGCAGTTTCTAATCCACATGACCTTGGAATTTTAGTTTCTAAAAATCTTTTTCCGTGCTTGAATCTCATTTCACATTAGAATGTAGGTTTGTGGAGCTCGGTTACCTATAAATTAGTCTCATGTTTATGACCTTAATTATTTGAGGAAGTATATTTTTGCTTTAGGAAACATTTCTGAGAGCTTAAAGAACTCTCTATGGGAAAGTACATAACTGCTCAATAATATGAAGAGAAATGAATTTTAACACTCTGAATTTTAGCATGAAATTCCCACTACCTAAAAGCCATGTAGTCCTATTGAAAGCAGAGGAGTTGGAAGCTCTTAAACTTCTTTCAGTGGTTGTTAGTTTTTAATTATCTGTGCAAGAGTAGAGACTTGGGAAAAGAGTGGTCAAATAGTGACAACATAATTTATTTTCAATTTTGGAGGGTGGTGTTCATCTTTGGAGAAGATTTACCATTTTAATAACATTTGGTTTGTGTTAGCATCGAGTGCAGGTCCTACTTCCCCAGCAACCAATAATTACAGTCCTGGGGAATATGCATTGCTAGGAAGCACACAGCTTTAAGGAAAACCAACATGAAAGTTATAATTTAAAACAATCCACATGTGGACAATTGTGAAAATTGAGTACACTGAGAATATTCCACCTTATTAAAAAGTATGCCTCCTTAATTATTTGATTCCCTATATAATGGCTAATAAAAAACTAGAACAGAATTTTCCTATTTATTACATAACTCATACAGAAATCAAGAGAGGAATGAGCCTTGATGGAAGGGTCATTGCGGGTCAGAGAATAGAAATACTTCATACGCGAATTCACAATGCACTCTCAGCGTATGTGTAATTGTTCTTGCTCTGCGGATGAACAACTGAACAGCGCCAGGTGGACAGCCGGAAGTGACGCTGCACAGGCCGGAAGTGACCCGGCACAGGCCAGAAGCAGTTCCCGTGTTTCCCACTGCATCCTGCTGCCGTCTTTGAGGAGCAGGCAGATCTCACTTACCACAGATATTTTCTTCTTCTGGTCTTTTCCCAATAATGTTGTCTCGTAGTTGGCGTAGCTTTTCCTTAATGAGGACACAGAGCATAGAATATAGGACCAGGTCATGGAAGTCAAGATTTAAACATTTTTCATGGCTCAAGGTGAAAACATCAACACTATGTCTTGGTGTTCATTTGCTATTCACGTTTAGGGGCCTCCCCCGCCATCCTTGGTGCTTTATGTGCGTCATCTTAAATTAGTCCTCACCACTGCAGGAAAGGGATGTTAAATTTCACCATCCAGATTTGTAGATGTGGAAACCGAGATGCAGAGAGGGGAAGTGACCTTTCCAAGTCAGGTAGTGCTAAGTGGTGGAGTTAGGATGAGTATCGGAGGGCTAATCCCTTTGGTAGCACTTTCCTTCGAGTCTACACTTGCTGTTGGGGACCGGAAGGGCTAGAGCTATGTAACACAGGATGGCTTCCTGCTGCCTGAACCCAGCCCTGGCCTCCGCAGGGACTTATCTTCCCTGTGTTCTGAGTGTTAAGATAGGGACTCAGGAACAAATGATGTGCAGCTCAGTTCTCATTCTGAGCTCGTTCGTGATCTTCTCTTGTTTTCCAGACAGTCTACATCAGTATCATTTTAACCATAAGAGAACAACAAGCTAGCAGGCAATAAATCTTTTAGAGGACAACAAAGAGCCATGCTTTTCCTGGTGGTTTGCCTGGGAAACTAGAAACCCTTTTCCTGTAGAAATGTTCCCAGATCTCCTCCTGGAGTGGAGCAGCCCAGTCAGGTCGCCCTGGCGGGATCCTCAGTGAGGATCCCTGCAAGCAGCACTCCTGCCTCCTCTCCCAATGCCAGGGCGCTGCCTGGCTCACCAACATTGGAAAGAATATAGAAATGTCTGAGCATGTGTGTGTTGGGGACATGGAGAAGGATGATGATGATGATGATGATGATGATAATGATAATTATCTGTCTGGACTTCTGTCCCAGTCTCTGTGTTAAGGACTAGCTGATTCAAATACAGTCATGAAAAATTTGGCTTTGATGTAAAGTACTCTCAATGTCTTTTGACTTATGTTTACAGGTCTTTTGCCGAGACACTATTCATGATCTCATTCTCCCTGTCTATTAGATGAGTCACATCAATCTCATAATGTATGGTTCTCCTTAAATTTTTTCCCCCCAAAATGGAATATAAATACACAAATAAAATAGAAACAACCAAGGGTTTAATGGAATAACTAGTGAAATCATTTCTAAGAAGCTGGATTACTCTAAATTGAAATTTTTATTAAAGGTCTTGGCTTACATCAATAAAACTTATATGATACAGCACTGCTAGGACATGGAGTTTGGGGTTTATCTTTCAGCACCTTTTGCCCCTCTCAGGATGAGAGGGAAGGGTGGGGTGACAGTGTTGACAGAGTGTGAGATAGCATGTTTGCTGCAGTTCTGATCGGTGATCTGCAGTGGATGTTCCCTGGTTTGTTTGCCAAAATAACTGCCTTTGCATAATCTGGACCAGGCCCAGCATCAGCCCACAACCAGAGCTGCTCTTGGAGACAGGTAATTCCTGACCAGGCCTGAATTCAGAGTATTTAGAAAGTCCTTGCACTTGCACTGTCTCTTGCCTCTGTGCTAGATTGTTTGAAATGTGACTCACTGTGACTCATTTTCCGGTTGTTTTAAAAGTGTTCTTTTAAGGATTGCCTTTAAAATAAAATTTATCTTTTGGGAAAGGTGGTATCTGAAGCTATTATTATTTATATTTTGGTCTCAATAGCTCATTAAATGTGCTTAATCGACCACCTGGGAACCAGGTTCTGGCTCCTTGAGGCTCTGTGATGAGAAGAAAGGCAGAGTTACAGTATTTTAGGGGTGGGGTTGACTGTGAGACAGAGAGAATCTGGTCCTGACACCCTTCAGGAGGAATGTCAGGGTAGTGTGGCTATATTTTGTTTCCATGCTCACCTCAGAACCACCTCCTTCCATTCTCTCTCTGGGTATGAATTATGTTTGCAGAAGGCAAGGTTATCTGAAGTTAATATTCTTGGCATTGATCAAAAAACACTGCTTGACACACACAATTTTAATTTTCTGGTATATAATATGTATGAATATATATAATATATAAGAAGATGAAACTTTTCACATTTAGGACTTTTGCTCAACATGATTTCAAGCATTCCCTTTGAGGCTAATCTATGTCCTATTGTTCAGAGCAGAGCACACGTCAGTGTGAAGACATTTCACCTTAATTTCAGCAATTAGCTTTTACCAATTTCCCTGTACTCAGCACAGGTATTATGAGCTGATTAGGGGTTAGTTTTAATTACTGGGCTCCAGGATTGAGTTCACATAAATGAACTGGTAAAGGTGAAATATCTCCATTTTACTTTCATGTTTTAAAACTAATTTTTTAAAAACACCTTTTGGAGTTGCTAGTTAAAAACAGAACAGCTGGCTGCATTTCTCATGAAGTCTCAATCCAGCTTAGCCTCCAGGAGTCTGTAACACCATGAACGTTCCAAGGGTTTGGGTCATTGTTACCTGCTGAATCATTTCCAGGCTGCTCTTTCCCATCTGCCAATGTTTGAATTTCTCCAGGGCTTCATCCACAGACAGCTTCCCATTTTTGACTTTCTCCTGCAGGAGGATGAGTTCTTCCTGCCCGGCTGCCAGGCAGCCCCTTGGAATGGACATGGCTGGGCTCTCCATCCGTGCTTTGTCTGTGATATAAGGGAGGGCACATCAACAGGAAGTCAGTGTATGGACTACAAATAGAGCCAGTGGTGCTTCCTGTACTTAACAGGCCACATTTTAAAGCAGGTTTTTCAAAGGATGGTGGTGGTACCTGGCATCTAGTGATATGGTTAAAAAAATATATCTCATTACTGAGGCATCAAGACAGAAAAATCAGTAGCAAGAGTTTAACACTGGATTTGTAGGACATGCCAATTCCTTTCCTTGAGGAATAAAATGGGGTTTGTGGATGGGATTCTGGGAAGGTCATACAGAGTTGCCTAGCACTTGTGGCCTCCTCCAAAAGGAAGAGCTAAAGCTACAGGTGGCTGCTGCATTAGAGGTTAGTGGGCAGGGGAGAGGGCTGGGATTCCTTCTGGGAGGGACACAACACACAAGAGGAACCAGGAGTGTAGGGCCAGCAAACTCCATCAGCTCAGATACTGGCCACCCTGGCCACTGGACAGTCCCAGTGTGTCACGGTCTTGCAGCCCAGCCAGGGGATAGCCTGCGGACTGAAGAGTAGCTTGGCCCTGGAGAAAGAATTCACATGTCCTCCTTGCAGACCCCAGAACCTGGAAAGGGAGAGAAGCTATTGTCTGAGTGAACAGTGCTCCAGCTCATGAACCTCTGCATCTCCAGGACCCCACAGCCTCTCCACCATAGCAGCAAGGTACTACAACCACAGGAATCCAAGGCAACTTGCAAGGTGACTGTGACCCAGTGCCCAGGCAATGCTCCTCACAACACAGATGGGCAAATCCCCATGGCCGGGGAGGTTGCACTGCTCTAGTGACTGAGACAGGGGTTGCTTGTCCTGGGGACTCAAGGCTGGGGCAGCACATGGGGCTGAGAGCAGCACAGAGCCAAGGGCCCAGCTACCACAGACACAGGATTGGGTCTGCACCGCCACTGTCTGGGGTAGGCTCTGAGATTGCTGTGCTGCTGTTACCCTCTGCTGCCCAGCCCTGTAACACCTCTGTTGGATCTTGGTCAGAAGGGGTCTCCTTGTCTAGGGCTCCCTGGTATGCCCCCCACCCTAGGCCAGATGCCTGTGGGCTTGCACCACCAGCAGGGTGAGAGTGCAGTGTTCCATGGTGCTGTCTGCTCTGACCCCAGCTGTGTGCAGGTCCATGCTAGAACTGGGGTGGGTGCTGAATGCTCCCCTACTTCCTCCACTCCTGATGCCATTGCTCCATAGTTGGGGAAATCACATAGGGGTGCTCTGCTGCATACCCCTGCTAGGCCACTAGTGCCTTCACCCCGAGGTGGACTTAGAGACATGGGTCTCTCTTCTCTTGCTGTGGCACATACTGGACCCAAAGCCATTGACTATGGTGGAAGATGCCAAAAGGAGATGATAGCAGGTGCCCAGCTGGAACCAAAGCCAATATCACATATGAAACAACACCCCAGGTGAGTCTTTAGAGAAAGCTGCTTACTATGAAAGAACCAACATAACAGTAGCAGACATAACTGATTCATCAAATGCACAAATATCGACATAGGTGACAAGAAATATGAAAAAACAAGGAAACAATGCCTCGAAGAGAACACAGTAACTTTCTAGCAACAGATATCAAAGAAAACTATACTGATGAAATGCCTGATAATTTAAAGAATGATTATATAGGAACTCAGTGAGATTCAAGAAAATACATTCTAATGAAATTAGAAAAACAATGAATGATTTGAACAAGAAATCTAGCAAAGAAATAAAGATATTGACCAAAACCAAAGCAGAAATCTTGGAGATAAAGAATTTAATAAGTTTTTTAAAAATATAGTTGAAAACCTCAACAACAAAGTAGAGCAAGCAAGGGAAAGAATATCTGAACTTGAAAACAAGTATTTTGAAATAACCCAGTCAGAAGAGAGAGAGAGGGAGAGGAAGGAAGGGAGGGAGAGAGGGAGAGGGAGGGGGGAAGGGAGAGAGAGAGAGAACAAATGAACTAAGGTAGTTACTGAGACCTTTGGAATATGATCAAATAAACAAAGATTCACATTTTTTAATACTTAAAGGAGAAGAAGAGAGGGAAGTCATAGAAAACTTTATCAATGAAATAATAGCTGAAAACTTTCTCAATCTTGGGAAATATATGTACACTCAGGTTAAAGAGGCCCATAAGACCCCAAATGGATATGACCAGAAAAGATCCTGGCATATCATAGTCAACTGTGGAAATTCTAAGACAGGGGCCAGGTAGGTAGCTCAGTGGAAGGATGTTTGCCTAGTGAAGGATGTTTTCCTAGTGTGTGCAAAGACCTTGGTTTGATTCTGAGGACCACAAAACTGAAACAACAACATCAACACCAAAGCAAAATATCAGACAGAAATCTAAAAACTACAAAAGTACTGACCAAAAGGCCAGCTCTACAAAAGATATTTTAGGAAGTGCGATACCTGAAATGAAACAAAACAAACAAGCAAACAAAAAAGACAATTGCCATCATAAAATCATGTGAAAGTATAAAATGCACTGGAAGAGCAGATGCATGAAATAAAATAGAAAAAACCTTATCAGTACAATAAACTATGAAACCACAGAGATGAACAATAAGGGAAAGAGAATAGGATGAAGACTATTTAAAACAAATATAAGCAATTTTACAAAATGACAGGATTAAGTCCTTACTTATCAATAATAATGAAGGTAAATGGATTAATTTCTCCAATTGCAAGATACAGATTGGCCAAATGGATGCAAAACCAGGATCCAATGGTATGCTGCCTACAAGAAACTCATAATGTAAAATGAAAGGATAGAAAAAGAAATTTCACAGAAGTGGGAAGCAAAAGCAAGGAGGAGAGCTATTGTCATATCAGAAATAATAGACTTGAAGATAAAAAACTGTTAGAAGAGACAAAGAAAGTCACCATGTAATTATCAAGGTATCAGTCCAACCAGCAGACATGAAAGTTGAAAAATGCATGTGCAGCAGTGCTGGAGCAATTACTACTTGACCTGAGGGAGAGGTAGAATTCAATGCAACAACAGTGAGATGCTCAACTCCACTTTTGTCAGACCTTCCCAACCAAAGAAATCAAGAAAGAGCAAAGTCAAACTATACTGTCTGTTAAATGGAGCTACATTCAACCAACCCACAGTCAACATCATATCAAACAGGGAGAGCTGAGAACTTTTCCTCTAATATCTGGATAAGACAAGGCTGTTCACTGTCAGCAACACTGTATTGGAAATTTTAGCCTGAAAAATTATGCAAGAAGAAGAAACAAAGGGATATAAATAGGCATATAAACAAAATAAAATGAAATAAAATAGAATAATTTCTGTTTGCAGATGATATGATTGTTTATACAGAAAAATCTAAAGACTCCACTAAAAGATTATGAGAACTAATAAATGATTTCAGTAAAGTTATAGGATACAAAATGAATGTACAAAAAATCAATAGCACTTTTATACACTATTAATGAGATTGCTGAGAAAGAAATCATGAAAGGAAACCCATTCATGATAGCTATAAGAAAGAAAGAAAGAAAGATAGAAATAAAAAAGAAAGACAGACCTAGGAATAAAGGAAACTAAGGAAAATCATATATTCTAAATTACTAAATTGCAATAAGAGAAATTTTATTATGTTCAAAAGGAAAATCCCTCTATATTTGTGGATAGGAGTAATTACTATTGTAAAATATCCACACTACCCAGAACAATCTACAGATTCATTGCAATCTCCATTCAGATACCAATGGCATTCTTCACAGAATTAAAAAAAAGAATGCTAAACTTCATGTGGAAGCAGAAAAGATCTAGAAGAGCTAAAGCAATCTTGAGCAGAAATAACTAAACTGGAGGTATTATGCTACCTAGATTTAATATATACTACAAAGACATAGAAATCAAAACAGACATAGACCAGTGGAACAGAATAAAGTGCCCAGAAGCAATCTCATATATTTAGAGTCAACTGATTCCTCATAAAGTCTCTGAAAATACATACTAGAGAAAGGACAGCCTCTTCAATAAACAATTTGAAGAAAATTGGATATTCACATGCAGAAGATTGAAACTTGATCCCTGTGTCTCACCCTATACAAAAATAAAATCAAAATGCATCAAAGGTCCAATGAAAGTTCTGAAACTATGGAACTATTAGAAGAAAACTTAGGAGAAGCACTTCAAGCATTGTTATTGGCAGTGTTTTTTTTTTTTTTTTTTTTTTTGCAAAAGACACCTAAACCACAGGAAACAAAAGAAAAAGTAGACAAATAGTATTAGGATAAACCAAGAAGGTTCTGTGCAACAAAGACAATTGACACAGTGAACAAACAAATTTCAGAGAAAAGTTTTGTAAGCTTCTCATCAGAGGACTAATATCAAAACTATATAAGGAATTTAAAAGTCTAACAAAAACTATATTATCCAATTAAAAACGGGCAAAAATGTAAATGGACACACCTCAAAAGAATACATAAAATTGGTCAGTAAGTACAAGAAAACATATTCAACTTTATGACATGCCATGGAAATGAAAATCTAATGCAGAGATGTTGTCTCACTGCAGTCAGAATGGCTGTGACTAGAAAGTCAAAAAATAGAAATGTCAATGAGGATGTGGACGAAATGGAGCTCTTATACACTAATGCAAATTAGTAAGCCACTATGGACAATAGTATAGAGGTTCCTTAAAGAATCAAAGATAGAACTGCCATCCATGGGACCAGTTGTTCTACTTCTGGGTATGCACTTAAGGAGAAATATTAAGTAGATCAAAGAGACACCTGTGTGTCCATGTTGATAGCGGCATTTATCATAATAGGTAAGATACTGAATAAACTAGATTTCTACCAGTGGGTGAGTGGATAAAGAAAATGTGGTACACATGCACTGCAGAATATCATTAAGCTATAAGAAGAATGACATGTTCTAGTTTTCAGTGAAATGGTTGGAGTTGGAGGTTATGCTAAGTGAGATAAGTCAGGCATGGAATGGAAAATGCTGCATCTTCTCTCACTCATGTG